CATTAGGCTCACTAATATTAAGCTTAAGCTCCCTAATATTAGTTTGTAATATTTAGTCATAAAAAACTAACAAGAGATCTGTTTTTAAATATTAATTTACAGTACCTGAGAGTCATCGTCAGTCTCATTTTTAATTCTATATCTTTGTCCTTGAATGAAGCCATCCAGTTTGGGAGCACTTCCATCTGGCAGTTTTAACTCAAACTTTTCATTTTCATCTTTGAAGTCGAAGCAAATAAATTGCGAATAGCCTCCAAATCCACTTCTAATGTCCTTATTGGCAATCTTGTCCTTATAGGCGATCTTAAATTGTAAAATTAAATTTATTTTAGTATCAATTTAAAAAGAATTTATTTATTTCAATCATGGACAGCAAAAAAACTTACTACACAGTGTCTGATAAGCCAATGTGCTCGGTCGCAATTTTTTGGTGGTCCAGTTATTTCCAATCTGATTGTATCTCTACCTTCAGCTTTAGTCAGAGAGAAAATAAGTTATGGTATGAGATGCTGATAAATTTGGGGTTCCTACTGGGAAAAACGATTGTTAGTAGTGAACCCACTTCAAAAAATAGAGAGAGAAAATTATGCAATTCCTGCATCCTCTTGCAATCCTCCTCCTTAATTTTACATTGTCATACACATTCAGATTTTTCTCACGGATAAATGCTATACTAAAACCTTTTAAAAACAATTTAAATTAATATCATTGCATAACAAAAAGTTCATCCTCAATGTAAAACGATTCTAACTTACCTTCAGCATTTCGGCGAAAGGGGACTTTGATTTTTGTTCCGGATTTCGTTTCAATTCTCTCTATATTCCTATGTCGTTTGCCCAGTACAAAATTTATATACTCTTTCTGCACAGGCACCTCAATTTTTCTTACATCACCAGTCACCTTTCGCTGGAAAATGAGAAAAAAAGTTTAACTTAGCATTACTTTCCGCCACGCCTTCAGTTTCACGATTTCCTATCATATTATGATCTACAATCTTGAACAAAACACTTAAGAGAACTATGAGATCAAATGTCATATTCATGAGTGATAACATTTCCATGGTTTCGCTCCCCTCCCCCGATTCAATGTTGATTGGATGAAACATGTACTTGGGATATGTGGATATCAATACTGTAGTAACATTGAACTGGGAGAGTGGGGGTTACATCAAAATAAATCCATGATTTAATGGACATAGCTACACAATATATTTTCATAGCATGGATATTACACTGGCTCTCAACCAATTTGGTCCAAGTTTGTAGCTTGTTGCAATACTTTTTGCCTTTCTAAATTTCCCCCTGCTTTTCCTTAACGTCTTCTTCCCATTTATTATTAATATATATTGTCAGGTTTTGTTTCGGCTGGTTTTTAATTCTAAACACGAACGAACAAGTGATTTGTATAAAATTTCTAGTGTTTTCCCTTGCAATTTCAATTTTAAAGGTTTTACAGTAACATATTTAGCTTTTTGATGGATCATTAAAACCTGTAGACGCCACAAAAGATTTTGAATAAGAGAACATCTTGGTAATCATGTTGCAAAACAGTATTAATTGGTTTATTATTAGGAGTGACGCCCGTATTCTAAAAGCTCACTCGCACTCAATGAGAAGAGGTTCAATCTGAGCTTCTCTTGAGTGTCAATGCTGTTTTTAAATAGATGGAGGGTTAGTGTCGTACCTTACTTTGTGACTACTCACCCTCTACAATCAGGAGCAAAAATTATTGAGACAAACGCATAAATGCCCCCCGCACCCCCAATTCAATGTTGTGTGGATGACTGAAAAGAGAAAATTCAACCCATTTTTTCCAAATTGATCATGGGGGGAGGGGAGAGGCCGACGTACTTGAAACTGGCCAAAAACGTGAAAAGTCTCATTATTTTTGCTCCTGATTGAATCAGGAGCAAAAATTATTGAGACAAACGCATAAATGCCCCCGCACCCCCAATTCAATGTTGTGTGGATGACTGAAAAGAGAAAATTCAATCCGCTTTTTCCAACATTGATCATGGGGGGAGGGGAGAGGCCGACGTACTTGAAACTGGCCAAAAACGTGAAAAGTCTCATTATTTTTGCTCCTGATTGTACCTCTGCTGATCTGTAGAATTCAGTATAGAACACTATACATTTATCGAGTATATCTGTAGTATTACATGTTAATTGTTTCAGTGTGGGAAATTCGAAATATATAATATATAATAGCTTCGGGTTTCAGGAACTTTACGATACTTCACGTATTTATGCACCTATCAATGTTAGGCGGGGGGGGGGAGGCGGGGCAAGGGGGCGGGATTTGACATTCAAACAAAATTTTGTGTCAACCTACCCCAGGGATTCAAGTGCTGGTCAAATCGATCGTACCCAGGGGCAATTAAAACTGTTTCGAAGAGATTTCTCAAACTGAATAATTCATAAAGGAAGTATATTAAGAAGTATATTTAGAAATCATAGGAAGATTACGGCCATTTTTTCGCCAAAATTTAATTCTCGATTTTCTTTTGAAGTATGGATTTGTTTGAGAAGGCATATCCAACAATTGCAAGGGTTTTTCCTATGATTTCTAAATATGGACGTACAATTGCCTCATATATTCAACCTGCTTGTCCGTATATTGGAGAGAAAACACTTGTTCATGTTGAATATATAATTTACCGTACGTATGGTACGTGAAACATAAATACAATTTAATTTTTGAAATAAATTAAACAAAGTGGTTAATATCATAATATCCACATCTTGACAAATAAATGTTCGTATTCTATTATTTATAATGCTTCAAGAGAAATACAATTCATGAATATTAAAATGAGAAAAATCAACAGTTTATATCGTATTCAGTATTCCCCGCCATTTTCCAGAGCTGACAAGTGAGAACACATGATTTGGTGGCAAAATTTGTCCCAGATGTTCCGGAGATCCCACTGTGTCCCTGCTCATTATATATGCAAAATGACAACAATTTAAAAAATTTGTCAAATACCCCTGCCCCCTGGACTGTACCGATTGTCAAATTCTCCACTCATGGGATATACTTTCTCATCAAATCCTGCCCCCTTGCCCCGCCTCCCCCCCCCGCCGGCCTGACATTGATAGGTGCATTATAGGACACTGTCTTTAAAATATGCGGATGGTATTACGAGAAGTACAGTTTTGACTAGTTTTGAATGCATAAATTTATACTATTTTACTCACATGTTGCTCGTACTGCGTAACATTTTCTCTTTGTCCCACAGTCGCCAGAAGTCAACAGCACGTTCCCCTCTTTGTGTACGTACACGAACGACCAGCTTCTATTTTCTTCCTATTTTCGTGCTCGATAATAAATCTCTCCTGCATTTTTCTTTCCCTCTCAGATCTTTTTTCTCTTTTAAACATCCCTGTATATCTCTCTCGCTCTTTCTTGTTTAATTATCTTTTGTCTTTTACGACGAATTCCTCGATCGTGTTCGGCCTGGAAAGCCGACCTAGCTTCGAAAGTATATGCTCGCTCTGTCTCGCTGGTTGCACTGAGATTTCTCCCAGATCGTGACGTATCCCACCATTAGCAAGTGCGCCACTCGCTGTGTGGAATGTCGTGTTAAAATGCGCCATTTCAACCGACTTTACGTAAGCTCATACGACCAGACGACCTTGCTTGCTGATGATCAAGTGCAAATTCCCGCGCGCGCTCTTTGTTTACATATTGCTGCACAAATATTACCTTCCCCTCCCTCCTCGGGCAGGTCAAACAATTGTCCGTTCGCTTGCTGTATATTTTGCAGTACTGGAATGGAAAATTTTTACCAAATATAACTGTTATTTCTATCTGCAGTTGTGCAACTAACGTCAATTTTACGGATGATGGTATATTAGTGTTCTACTGAGCGAATTTTTGGCCAGATGTTGCTCGTCAACTGCACCAAAAGTTAATCGAGGATAATTGCCACGACAACGAGTACGAGAGCATCATTCTACACATTGGAACCAATGATCTGGTGCACAAGGATGCAGACAAGGTTGCTGAGAAGATGGAAGAGCTGATAGAAAAAGTGAAGCATCGAGCGGAGAGAGTTGCTGTTTCAAGTGTCATCAAAAGGTATGATGGTCGAGTTCCACCAAGTAAAATAGCATCTTATAATTATTTAATGTATCATATATGTTTAAAGCACAACATTCACTATATCGACAATGATGATATGGACAAATCTCTTTTGAATCGCTCAAATTTACATTTGAACAAAGTAGGAGATAGAGCACTAGGGAGTGCCTTTTGCACTTTCTTGAAATC